AAGTATCTCTTCAGAAGTCATGCAAGTAATTGCAGAATGAAGTGCAGTATTTAAAATGTTGAAAGAAATCTAGAATCTTGTATCCAGTAAATTAATTTTCAAAGGTGAAGAAATCATTTTCTTTCTTTTTATTTTTTTTAAAGAAATAATTTTCTTATAATAAAAGAGGGAGTTGTTACCAGTGGAACTTCCTTGCAAGAAAAGTGAAAAGAAGTTCTTCATGGAGAAGAAAAATCATATCCACATAAATAAAAGAACATTAGAGAAAGAATAATGAAGGTAAAGTACAATCTTTAATGTTTCTTGTTCTTAATTGACCTAACAGATAATAAACTCAAACAAACAAACAAATAAACTCACTGCCATTGAGTCAATACTGATTCATAGCAACCCTATAGCAAAGGGTGGAACTGGCTCTGTGAGTTTCGGAGACTATAACTATTTACAGGAGTAGAAAAGCTGGTGGGTTCAAACTGCACAATAATAGCAGCAACAATGTATCCAGCAATTATAGCTTATAACCAAAAATCCAAACTCACTGCTATCTTGTCAAATCTCCTGCCTGGTGCCCCTATAAGGCAGGGCAGAACTAACCCTGTTGGTTTCCAAGGCTGAAACTCTTCACTGGAGTTACAGTTACACTCCAAGGGAGTGTCTGGTGGTTTTGAGCTGCTGACCTTGCACTATACCCCGCTGGGTGCTCTCATAGCTTATAGAGAAATGGAATGACTGGTAGCAATGTTTATAAGGTCCAGGAGAAGAGAATGGTGGAAGATACATATAGTGCTCATAAAGCTGTAAAATATTATTTGAAGGTGAACTTTGATGAGCTGTAAATGTATACTGCAAACTCTAGACAACCAGTTTAAGAAAAAAAATAAGTGTGCTTGATAAGCTGAAAGGGAAGAAAATAAATCATGGCTTTGTTAAAGCCAGAGAAGACATCAAGAGTAGAAGACAAATACATGTGCAAAAGAACAAAGACAACAAATAAAAATTGGTTACAATATGAAAAGTAATTCAATTATATCCATAATCACTTTAAACATGAATGGTCTAAATACATTAATTAAAAGAGACTATCGAGGTGGATAAAAAAATAATATTGTTTATAAGAAGCCTACTTTAAAACATAAATACAGATAGAAAGTAACAAAATGGAAAAAAGGTATTCCATAATTACCCTAGCCTAAAGAAAGCTAGAATAGCTTCCATAACTTCAGATAAAGAAGGCTTCAGAGCATAATAAAAAGGGGTGAATCTTCCAAGAAGAAGTAATAATTCTCAATGTGTATGCCCCTAACAACAGAACATCAAAATATATGTGGGAAAAAAATCAACAAAACTTCCAGGAAAATCCACAAATCCACAATTATAGTTGGAAACTTTAACAATCTTGTACAGAAAACTAACAGATCAAGTAGGCAGAAAACCGGCAATGGCACAGTTGAACTGCACAGCACAATTAACGAGCTGGGTCTGACCCATATTTATAGAACACTTCATCCAACAAAAGCAGAATCCAAGTTCTTCTCAAGCTCACATGAAAAATTCACAAAGATAGATCACATTCTGGGACTTAAAGTACACCATATAGAAATCATACAACATATTCTCTCAAACCATAATAGAATTAAACTATAAACTAGGGATGTCAAACTGGTGGCTCGCGGGCGACATGCGGCCCCCGAGGTAATTTTTTGTGGCCCACGATGCTCTGAAATAAAATGTAACGAGGGAATTCTGTGTATACCTCAAGCTCCCTTAAGCGCTATTTTCTTCATAACAATTTTTTCTATTTTCATTTTATTTCAGAGCACTACTGATTCCACAGACATTTAAGGAAAATAAAGGAATATTTATAAACAGATTTGATAACTTAGATGAAAAACACAACCTACCAAAATTCCTCACAACGAAAAATAATCTGAATAGGGTTATATTTATTAACAACCTTAGATTAATAATTAATAACATTCCAAAATGGAAAGCACTAGGCTCAGATGATTTTATTGGTGAATTCTACAAAATACTTAAATAAGAAATGATACTAATTTCCTATAACCTCTCCTAGAAAATAGAAGCAGAGGCAATACTTCCTAAATCAGATGATCCAAGTGCTACCCTACCAAGAGAGTAAAACAACATTAAAAAAAGGAAAAAATACAGACTATTAAAAAAGATGTAAAAATCTTCAATAAATGCAATGTATAGAAATAATTGGACACCATGAACAAAAGAGTTATTCTAGGTATGCAAGACTGGTTACAAACACACATACAATCGAGTAATGTATTCCATTAAATCAATAGGGTAAAGAAGAAATATCATGTAATTGTATCAATTGAGTCAGAAATCCAACACCCATTATGATAAAAATTCTTTAGCAAACTAAGAATAGAGGGGAACTTTCTCAACTCGATAAGGAACAAGTACAAAAAAACCTATATATGGTCTGTAAACAAACAAACAAAAAACCCACCTATAGCTAATATCATACTGAATGGTTGAACGGTGAGGAACTAGATACTTTCCTACTAAGAACAGAAATATGAGTGTCTCCATAAATGCCAGGATCAAGATATCCTTCAGTAGAGGAATACATAAACTGGTTTATCCCTATCATGGACTATTATTCAACAGTAAGAATGAATGCGCTATCAAATCATGAAGGCAGGAAATCTTGTATGCAATGTTTCTAAGTCAAACACCAAGTCTGAAAAGGCTATATATTGTACGATTTCATATACTCGGAATTATGTATTCTGGAAAAGACAAACTACAGTGGGTACTAAGGGCTGCAAGGTAGGTGAGAAGTGAAAGTTAGAGCACAGGAGAGTTTTAGGAAAAAGAAAGTACCAGTATTCTGTTTAATACTGCAATGGTAGGTACCTGACATCATACATTTTGTCAAAATTCATGTAACCATATTACACATGACTGAACCCTAATTTAAGGTATAGATTTTAGTTAATAGGGGAAACTATGCATGTGCTGTAGGGGTTTACAGGACCTCTTTGTACTATATATCCTTTCAAAATTCTTTGGCAACACTAGTATAAATATATTTTATTATGCTCCCTTTTCAGACACAAAAAATCGCATGTAATGCATACAACTGTCTTTGTCCTTGAATAGTATGTTTAAAGATCATTCCAGATCAGTAAGAGCTTCTTTGTGCTACTACAGACAGCCTCTATTTTACTGTAGAAGTACTCTTTATACTTCTATTTTACTGTATAAGCAGCCCCCTACCAATGGGCAGTAAGTAAAGTCCCCAAGCTTTTACATGACTACATGTCATTCTGAAGGTATGCAATTCTATCTGCAAGAACTTCTTTAAAACACATGCCTGAGTCTAAGAATATGAACACTTAAAATTTTTATAGAAATTACCAAATTGTACTCTACAAAGTTATGTAGTATTACTCCCAAAGTGATGACATTTCTACAGCTAAATTTACAGCTAAACAAAATATTCTCAGTTTAGTACTATACATACAATCGCTATTTACTGCGGGGGTAAACAAAGATAAGAGGAGAAGCACACTCATGTGAATTCATCAGCTTTCCATACAGACAGAGAAATTTAGTTGTATTATCCACATACTTCTTACCCAATTGAAATTCAGTCTTGGGTTTGATGGGTGGAAGTTTATATTGCCATTCAAAAGTATTTGGATAGGATTCCAGTGGTTTAGGAAGCCCAGATAAAAGTTTGAGAATCAGTGTATTATCCCATGGGTTTTCAACAATGAAGTCTTAAAAGAATGAGAACAAAAAAGGAAAAACAAATTCAGTACCCAATAATTTTACTGACAAAGTTATCGATAAATCAAGTGGACATTCAATAAATTAGGCTCTGGAAAGCATTATCCTTTAAGTTTCATTGGTTAAGTCAAAATCGGTCGTGCTGCACAATTGGACAATAACCATTTAGATCCATAAATTTAGATCAGTGTTCAAGTGTGACAAAGGATATTAGCACCAGAAGCTGTAGTGTGGTGGGCATGGGACAGTGTTTTATTAGCCTATTCTCAGTTCTCCTGCTACAGAACCATTTGTTCTGCTCACCTGGAAATACTACTGCTTTTCTGTAAAATGTAGACAACTGTATTTTATGTCTGGCACAGTTTAGGTGTTTAAATTATAATTTCCTCTTCAAACAGTAGGTATTTTGTTACCTTCTGAAATTAAAAATGGATCAATTTTCTAATTGGGTCTGAACTTATGTTCCACCCAATGATATTCAAGCCCTGGTTTTCTGAGCTTCTTTCACAAAATAGGTTTTCCTAAGCGGCTGTCCTCATTCCATTGTGCAATTAAAATTAAGGATGTGTTCACACTTGGGCACATACACTTTTACCTGAACTGCTGTGCATCTGCTCTGCTTGGAGCCCAGCACTGGTGTCAGGAGGGTCCTCTTCCATGGCAGCAACAGGGTCTGTGAGTTTACAAGCCTCGAGGCTTTGCGCTGTTTCACTGGTAAGCATACTGCCTGCAGCAGGCCGGATCACACCGAATAAAGGTGCTGAGGGTATGCTTGTGGTTAATGCTTGTTCTGGGCTTTTTTCTTGAATTGGACTGGATGTGTAATGGGACAGAGAAGAGGTGGGTAATGTCAGCTACAGTCACATAATGTAATATCTGGTATATTTCCATATGCACACACACAAACACACAAATATATATACACATGTATACATACATATGAATTTATACTGCAACTTCTGATGTTGCTATTTTCACTTGTCACAAATGATTTTAATACAATGTTTTTTAAAATAAGACTTTTAATTTTGGAATAGTTTTGATTTAAAGAAACGTTGCCAAGATAATAGAGAATTTCCATATATTCCTCAGCATTGCTCCTGTACTAAACTTTAAACCTACCCGGATTGCCAGTCATTTTTCTGCTGTAGGATACACTCAAGATACCATTCACATTTAGTTGCCTTTTGTTTTCTCTACTTATTATTTTCTCATATATGATGTTACTCAGTCATTTCTTAGTCTCCAAGTCTTGAAGATTAGTGATCAGGTGTTTTGTAGGATGTCTCTTAATTTGGGTTTTCTAATGTTTTCACAGGACTAAACTGGAGTTACGGGTTTGGGGAAAAATACAGAGATAAAGTGCCCTTGTCCTTTCAGGGTATAGGACCAATAGAACTTATCACTGGTGAGGTAGTTACTTGGTAAAGGTAGGATCTGCTAGGTGTCTGACAGTACCCTCATGGACTTTAATGACAGCACATATTTTAATCCATGCTTTTTAGGTATTAAAAATATTCCCAGTATTTCATATTGTTAACACACACACACACACAACAGGGTATTCATACATGTACCTTGCTTGCTACTAGTAACCCAAGTGTCCAAATGATAAGGGTACATGAACTACTAACACAATTCTTTCTCCTATTGCATGAGTATGACCTTTGTTTAACTTTCTCTTTTTCCCTGGAAACCTGAAATGCTAGAATGTCAGTCTTATCATATGGTAAAAACTTGGAGAATTATAAACACTTAAGAAGCTCTGGAGGTTCTGGTGGCCCTGTTGAGTAAGCACTGGACTGCTAACCTCAAGGTCAAACCCACTATTTGAGGCAGAAAGATGGGACTGACTGTTCCTACAAAGATTAGGCGCTTCAGAAACCCTACATAGTCATTATGAGTCAGAAGGGACTTGACAGCAGTGGGTTCACTGGGCAGTCACAGCTTCAGGTTTTCTTGAGCCTCATGACTTGTGTATGGACCTGTCCCTTATGGAGAACCTGGAAGCTAAATCTTGGGAGTGATTCAGATCTATTGAAATAGGGCTTAAAAAAAAAAGTTAAATAATAACATTTAAAATACAACATGAAAAAAAAATCTAAATAAATGAATAATTTAATAAAATAAAAACCAAACCTGAATAGATTAAAAACAAAAAAGAAACAAGGCTTGTGGATAAACAAGCGGCCATCTATTTGAGAGGCAACAGGGCCCACATGGAAGAAGCGCACCAGCTTGTGTGATCATGAGTAGTCAATGGGATTGGGTATCCGGATTCAAAGACCCAAAACAAAACCAAACCAAATCATATTGATGTGAATGAGGGGAGGGCAGAGTGGAGACCCAAAGACCATCTGTAGTCAATTGGACATCCCCTTTCAGAAGGGTCACAGGGAGGAGACCAGCCAGTCTGGGTGCAGTGTAGCACTGCCGAAACACACATTTTCCTCTGGTTCTTTAATGCTTCCTACTCCCCCACTATCATGGCCCTAATTCTACCTTAAAAATCCCACTAGGCGGGAACATATACGCTGGTACAGATAAGAGCTCGAAACACAGGGAGAATCCAGGACAGATAAACCCCTCAGGGCCAATAATGATAGGAGCAATACTAGTAGGGAAAGGTGGGGGGGTGGGGATGAGGGGGAATTGACATTGACATATAAACCTCTCCCAGGGGGTTGGCCCCAGTCCCAAATACTAAGTGGATAACTGCCCCTCCCCACAGAAGAATTTATTTCAAAGGACGGCACTGACTCCTCAGCTCCGGGAGAAGGACATATCTGATCTGAGCACAAGGGAGCAGATGAAGGGGGAGGAGGACTGAAGCACATCCTGGCCCACCAGGTCTTGAGGACGATGATCCCAATTAGAGCAGCCAGTCCACAGAAAGGACCACATGGCCAGCCCCACTATGAGACATGACGCCCCTCACTGACCCATGGCCTTCGGGGGACAGCACCAGAGACACAGTGTGGGAATTGCGCCCGATCGGATCCCGCACACCGAGGCAAAGCACTGGGGAAGTGCAGCAGAACAGCAAGGGAATGGAGCAGCAAGGTCCCCAGGAAATGCTGAAGGTGGACTTTGGGGCCAGGGCGTGGTGCCCCAACAGACTGGACTGGAAAACACTCCTAAAGGCCAACAAACGATCCCTGAACTAAC